CCCAGTAGGAGCCGAAACACGGCCTCATTTCATGGCTAAACAATCCCTCTTTGTGTGTCCTGTTCTCCTAGAACAATCCCCTGCTCTGACAATGTCCTTTATGTGGCTTAGTCCCTGCAGAACAAGCAGCAGTGTGCTCAGCCCAATGCCTGGCAGCTTTCAGCAGTGCTTGCCTGCAGCCCTACCACTCCGCAGCCAAGGCACAGCACCCAGGACCTCTGTCCATCCTCTGTATGGGGCTGTGGTCATTTCAGATAAAGCCAAATGCTTCCCAGGAAAGGCTCAAGCACGGCTGAGGATGCATAAGAGATGTCTTTCTTCTGAATCCATTTATTCTGCGGAGATGTTGGAAGTGATGCACCGCAAGTGGGGAAAGCAGCCTGGGAAGTGGTTGTGGAGTGCATGCCACCGCATTGGCCTGAAACCCCAACCACCTATTGGGAGTGGAGAAATCACCAGGATTTGCAGAGCAACTCTCAGGCTCCAGGCAGTCTGGGACAGGTTACTGGAGCTGATCCACTGCTGCGGGCTCTAAATTACGAAGGCAAAATGAAATGGCTTCAGAGAGAGAGGCTGATGAGAAGCAGAGCTGGAGCTTTCTTATCACCTGCATTTTCTCTCTTCGAAGGCACCTCCCTGTGAGATAGACTTGAAAGCTCCCTGCAAATGGGAAGATTTTAGGTTCCTACCAGCAACTGAACTTGCAGATCTGCCATGGTCTTCTGCTGCAGCATGCTGCATGTGGACAGCCATAAAGGTTAGGACTGGCAATGAAGGAACAAGGGGAATGCTTTAGTGGGCCCAGAGATTTCTTACAACATCTGCAGAGAGTCCCAGGATGTCATGTATTGATGGAGTAATGCTTCCAGACTGCATTTAGGATGTCAAGGCTCACACCAGTGAGGCTCCTGGCTCTTATGCGGCTGATAAACAATTCGTTGTGGCAGGAAACTGCAGTCATGTGTCCTGCCCACTACAGCTGGCAGACAAAGTTCAGCAAATAAGCACACCAGGGCGAAAGTCTGCCTCCAAAGCATCTGAGTGCCAACACGCCACCACAGTGCCCACAAGCTTAACTTTTATCTCACATTATGCCTTTTTTGCAGGTGATGTTCTAAAGTAATATCAGAGCATTGTGTTACAGCAGGGTTTTGAGTGGGGTCATTTCATGCCTGTTGGCTACAGAAATGTGTGTCCTTTCTGAGCAGCTCCCAGGGATTTTGGATTCCAAGACTGAAGGTATTTTGATCTTCTGCCTGAAGGAGGAGAGGGAAGCACTGATAGTGATGGAGTAATTGTCCTTTACTGTCAGGATGATGCAATCGGCATAAATAACAGATGCAAGTTTGTGCAAATGAGTCATTTAATGTTGATATCAACCATGGAAGGAGGCAGCATATCAGCTTCAGCTTAACCAAGCATGCACACTCAGGCATGACCTAACTGCCCATCTCCATTTACTGAAACCATGTGCCTGCATTATGGTATTTAATAGAGTTTCAGACTCCAAGCAGTGTATTTGTCTCCTCTTTTAGTGGCCAGAGAAGCCTGGTTTTATTCTCTCAGAACTACATAGTGGTGATGTAGGAGTCTCTCTTGGATGTTTTGGGGCTGTCAACATGATTGACTTCTCATTTTTCATCTTGGATTTACAGAGAAAGTGTGCAGCAATGATATGTGATGGATAGTGCTGTAGGGTCCAGCCTCGGGAGAAAGAGAGAAGGATTAAATAATATCACAGAGCCAATTACAGTTGTGGTTTCTATTTGACCCCTTGCTAAGTTCCTGACTATTCAGGATTAAAAATTAAAGGATGGGAGAGACTCAGACATCATCTTTTCAATCCCAAAGTAGATAGGTGAATTTGTTTATTACGTGAGTCAAAGACCACTGAAGAATTACAGGGCCAAGAGTGCATACTTACTTTTCAATGGATTCATTTTAACTTTTTATTGTCATTAAGATTTTTTTTAGTTGATTAATGTCAACATTTTTACCACATGAGAAACTCATGATTAAATTTTTGTACATAAAAAAACAACAAAATATAGCTATAAATTTAGTGAACAGTAAGAAAACATAAATTTATTACATATACTGAACATGAGCTATTTTAGGTCCTTAAGCTGAGGTAATTTCTACCTCTGCAATAGCAACTGAGAAACTACTCATGGAAAATACTGATGGATCTTAGACTTGGAGAGACTGAAGCCCCTCTTATCCCTACCCAGGCAGTTACCCACGGTGACTCTATTTTTCAAGTCTGAGAGCAGAGAAGGTTCAATGCTGAGAAACCACACTGGCACTTCTCATCACACACAGGTGAAATTGTTGTTACTAATCCCTAAGGTCATAACCTTTCTTCGAACTTCATTCCTTTTTTATTGCTTAGTTCCTACAGACCTTCCCATCTGATAGTCTGATAATCCTCTATACTGACGACTTCCATCTTTGCGCCTTCAGCAAGTTACATTAGCACACACTTGCTTTTGCACACAGACAAAGCAATGAGGAAAAACAGAAATGCACCTGGGCTCTGCAAGAGCGGAAGATAACAACTGGTGGACGGAACAACGGGAAGGCAGATCGCAGAGATTCACACCCACATCCGTCTGATCAGATCTCCGGCTTGAGAAGGATCAGCTGGTCCCTCACTAAAGCCAGAGTGGAAGTGGAATGCTCTTCTCCCAGCTAAGTGGTAGAGGAAGGTGCCCAAATTCTCCAAAGCTGGGGCCCTGTGTACCTGGGACAGGCCGTACACAGCCCATGCTACTGTAAACAAGAGCACGACAGTCAGGTTGTTTCTTGAATTGAAGGTGAATTGCTAATAAAATGTAGGGCTCTGCCAGCTGCACAAGCAATATGTGTAGTAAGGGCACCCTCGTGCAGGTGTGTGACACAATCACCTTTTGTTTGTAGCCCATACTGTAGCCAGAGCAACATGCCTAGCTGGCTGCAAACAGCTTTCCTCCCAGATTTTGAGTCACACAGGCACGATTCAAGATTGAAGCAGATTATCCATTTACAAAAGTCTCTCTCCCAACACTTTGTGAACACCAGCCTGTACATGACAGGTCATGTCGCTCTGTGGCTTTGTCTCCTTCATCTTCCTTTATTTTTGAAGGATTTTCTTCACTTTGTGTGGTCATGCTCATGGCTAGAAGTCAGGAGCTCCACAATGCTCAGCAGACTAGTGGAATCCTTACCGGAGATCTCCAGGACCCTGCATTCTCTTCCAGTCACATCTAGTTGGGCCAGCGCCATTCTGCTGGAGAATTAACAGCAGAAACAGAAGATGAAGTAGCAATGGAAAATTAAAGAGCAAATACCCACAGAAGTAATGGTGGAGAGAGTAGACACAACAGGGAACTGGAGTCCTGGACTGAGAGGGGAGAAAGAAATTGCATTCTGAGTAGAAGAGGGTGACCTGGAAATTTATTCCAGTAGAAGGAAGAAGCTGGGCTGTGCAATTTGGGGCTCAGTTTTAGAGCCTGACAAGCCTTCCAGCAAGGGTGGGTCCAGAGGAGAGAAGGAATGCTTAGAGAAGCTATGAGATTGGGGATATGAGGCTGAAAACTATCTAGCAGGGAGTGGGAAGGAATTCATTGGTGTTCTCTCATTTCATGAGGAACAGCATAGCAAGATTTCCATTTAACAGGACCAAGAATCAACTTAGAGATCAATAGTTTAAAACAGAAGAACAAGGAAAACAAACAAAACACACGAAAGGTAGCAAATGAAATTGACGCTTGTTCTTAACAAGGGAGAAGAGTGATCCAGCCAGCTGCAGGCCTGCCTGTCTGATATTAGTAGTGTTTGATTAAAGAGTAACTCAGCATATGGACAGGAAATGGAAAGTGGGTTAAAATATAGTCTGTTATGCCTGTCTAACATTACTATAAAGCAATCGGCCCTACGTGGACTGCAGGGAAACAGATGATACACTGGGAACCTTGGTAGGCTGTGGGGGCAGAGGTGAGCAGAGGAATTTCACGTGGGAAGGAGTGGTTAAAGGTCAGAAGAACACAGAGCTTGGTGCAAGGGAGCACATCAGGACACACAGTAGGTTACCACTGAGGTATTTTGTAGATATTAGCAAAAACATTAGGAGCATTCGGATGAAATTTGTATGGAATCCAGTGTTGTGAGGCATTGGCAGTGCAGGAAAGGAATTCTGTATCATAGAATAGGCATGAAAATCTCCAGGAGTGCAGTTCTTTACTTTGTTTTGGGATTTTGTGAGCTGCAAGCACCTGAAGGATGTGACAAACGTAGCCTTGGCTCCGTCCAAGTGGGGAATTCTCACCAGGTGACCACAGAATGTGCCACCACTTCTGGTCACCATCTTCAGGAGGAACTTGAACAGCAGCATGGCCTACTGCCCATGGCCTGGGCAGTAGGTGCAGGGACAGCCAGGTTAGGAAGCTTGTTTAGTCATCTGTGTAATGGCTGAGAGGGAGATGATTGCTATCTATAAGTACAATGGACATAAATATATAGGTGAAGATCTATGGGAGTATGGTGCAGGAGCAAATGGATATTAACTGACCATGAATCCATTTAAGCTAGAAAGGAGGTGGTTCCTAAGAATTAGAACAGTGAATTCCAAAACAGGCTTCAGATCAGAAGAGCATGGATAAAAGCCCAAACATTTTATGTTCAAGTCCGATAAGTGAAGACAACATTCGATAGCTGGTGTTATATCACAAAAAAAAACAAACAAAAACACAACACATATGCCACTTGTCTATGGCTCTCCCTCTGCAGGGAGCTGCCTCACCCCTCAGAATCAGCGAATACCACCCCAAAACTCAGCACGCTCCCAGCAAAATTAGAGATCTCCACTCAACCCCAGCCCTGAGGTGAAGCCTGTGTGGGTGTGGCCACAAAATGGGCGGGCTGCAGTTATAGCGACGATTGGCCTAGAAAGAAAAGCTCCGCCCTTTTTGGGCGGGGCCCTTCCCTCTAAGCCAATCGTCAGCGGCGTGGGGGGCAGGGCAATACTATATAAATGCTGGGCAGCCGTGGTGGCGGGCAAAGCGGGGTGCGGCAGGCGGTGAGTTTATGTGTGTGCTGGGCTTCGCGCACATGTGGGGCTTAGTGGGGCAGGAGAGCCGGCCGACTGCTGGGGCTGTGAGCGCTGTGTCCGGCTGGGGCTGATCCTCCCTTGGAGGGTTATTGGGGGGGAAGTAAGAGGGTTTGGGACGAGGTGTGTAACTGGCTGGTGGGTTGGGCTTTGCTGTTGGAAAAGCCTTGGGCCATGCTGTAGGGGTGCCTCAAGGCTCGGGGTTGGGCTGCCATGCGTCCGCTGTGCGGCAGGCTGCCCGCGGGCCAGGAAGCGCCGGCAGGAGCCGCGTGCGTGCGCCCGCGTTCCTGTCACCCGGGATGCTCCGGGGCACGGGAGGAGACGGGCGGTGTCCCGCAGGCCGAGTCCTGCGACAGTGTGGGCGCCGCGGCGGAGGGCTGGGCCTGGGGTGGCCGTGGTCCGATGGGGAGGGCCGGGTGTTGCGACACGGCCCTGGCAGGTGGCGAGGCCCTGGGCCGTTGGGCGCGGCCGCCGCAGGGCAGGAAGGCACGGAGCGAGGCTGTCATACGCGTGGGGATAGGGGGGTGACGACACCAGTCGGCTAGAGTCGAGGATGTCCCGAGCCTGGAGCGGGCGGAGCACCTCGGCCATCCGCCGGCAGCGGTGCTCGGACCCGGCGCGGGGCGCCCGGCGTGTTACGGCGCGGCCCGGTGGCTGCGGAACCGTCCGTCCTCACACTTCCGGGCTGCGGGGCTCTGGGCCGCGGTAGGCCCCGGCGGAGCCTCACCCCGCCCCGCGGCAGGGCCGGGCGCCGCCCCGCTGCTCGCTCTGGGGCGGGTGGGGGGCCGAGCTGCCTCCCGCCGGCTTGCAGCCGGTGACGGGACGCGGACGGGACGCGAAGGGCCCGGAGCCCACCGTGCTCGTCTCGGGACGGACCGCGCTGCAGCTGGGGCTGCGGTGGGGCTTCCTCGTAGTGAGGCGTGAGCGGCCTCCGCTGGCAGCACGGAGGCTGGGGAGTGTTCTCCTACGTAGCCCTCAGCATCAATGTGCCATTGAGAGATTCCTCTGCCCTCCTCCTCCGGTCAGGATGGCAGTACCAGGCCTCTGCTAGCAGCACAATGTTAGCTTTGAGCGCCGGCTGGTGTAGGTGCCGGTCCTCCCTCTGGCCCTTGCTCTGGAATGCCAGTGGGAGGAGGTTCTTGTCACCTTCTTGGTGGCAGCAGTACCCAGGCTGTTGTGCATGATGTCTGTGTGTGCTGAACAACTGTGGCCAAATGCTGACTATCTGACTTCCTGTAGGCAGTGCTGGGATTGATCTGTATTTCATGTATTTGGGCCTTATGTGATGATACACAATGTCGGTGAAGCTGCAGGTTTGATTTCACAAGACCTGGTGAGGCAACGTAAATGTAACTAAGGACACTCTGGCAAGTGGGGAAGCAGTCTGTGTGCCTCAGTGTATGGACTCCTTTCCACAGCTGCTGTTGGAGCAGTGTAGAGGGGCTGCTTGATGCTGTCCCACTGGCTGTATACATTGGTTCTGGAGGGTGGGAGGAAGTGGAGTAACTCCCAGCTGGAGGCTCTTGCATTTGTTTGGTGGGCAGTGTGGGATAACACAAGGTACTTTGCTGCTAGTGCATCTGTCAGAGCATCTCATCCCCATGCCAGGGCTGTCTGTGCAGCAATACATCCATCCTGCAGTGCTGCCCAAAATTGTCCACCTTCTCTTCTGCTAGAATGCAGCCAGGGCAGATTCCTGAGTGGATGGAGCTGACCTTCCCACAGGACCTGCTGGGTGGCTTCTTAAGGATGGCTTACAGAGTCAAACAGTTGACTGAGCCCTTGGGGCTTGACTGAAGCTGCTGTATCCCTATCTTCAAAGAGATGAGCCCCTTCAGCTTGTGGGTGTGAGCTGCTGCTGCCAACATATTCCTTTGAGATGCAGCATGATGCCAGCTGTTGCAGTAGGCTGCATCTCAGTGTAGGGATTAAGCCGTGCCACCCACACAGCCCAGGCCTCTGTGCTCCCGCCCTGCATAGTGTTCTCATCTCTATTTCCCTGTAAGTCTATTACTTATAGAGAGCTTGTATGGTTCTCTGGGACAGGAATATGATTTAGTTCTAGTAAAACTGACAGAATGGACTCTGGGAAGAGGCAATAAATCATTCTGACCTAGAGTTGTCTTGAAGCTTTTTTTTTTTTTTTTTTTAAGATGAAAACAAAGGACATAGTGTCTTCTGTTTTTTCCTGATGGAGAAAAGCTTTACATATCCATGATGCTCTGATGCTGGCTTCCTTGCATTACTGTGTGATTGACTTTGCACTGTTGTCACAGAGTAGAGGTGAACAGTTTCTCCTCACAGCTCTTGGGCTGTGATCCTTTAGGAATGAGCTTCAAGAGGTACTGGGAATGGTACCTGTGATGACCCAGGAGTTTTTGCCTGTTTCTATGCTTTTGTGCTGAATTTGTGCTACAGTGTGCCCTGCTGTCAGGTGGTGGGAGTATGTGGGCTGGAAAGTCTGGTTCCTGCCAGTCAAACAGGTGAGGCAGCCTGAGCTCTTGCAGTCAGGAGCTGGTCCCCAGGAGCTGCGAGGCTGCTGTTGCTCAGAGATGACAGGCTGCAGCCGTCAGCTCTCTGCCTCAGCCTTTCCACAACAACAGGCCTGTGTCTGGCTGCATCTGGGACTGCAGTTTTGTGGGGATGCTAACTGGGTCTGGTAATTCTTGATTCTTCCTTGGAGTCTATTTAATTTCAGGTTGATCCTTCCCTTGTAGGACAAATCGGGTAATAAGCAGTCACTGAGGCAGCAAATTCTCCAGCTTTGCATGGTGTGCTCTTAGTCTGCAAGCACTGATCTGATAAAGTACTTGCTCGTGGTTTGCTAATAGACTTGTTCTGTATACATAGCGAGTTATATCCCATGCTGCTTCTACTTAATCCTAAGAGGCTTTCCTTCTCTGTATGGGACAAGTGGGAGAAGAAGTAGACTTGGTTTTAAGTGATCAATCTGCACCTGTAGAGATGAGGCCTCATGCTCATAAACCCTGTTAAAGGTGCCACCTGTTATGCCCTCGGGCTGTTGAGCTCTGCTGTACAGCTATGATGATGCTGCTGGAGTCCGTGGCATCTCTGGTTTTGCCAGTGAACATAACTTCTTGTTTGAAGGCGGTTATGTGACTGTGCTGCCCTTTGTGCAGGGAGTAGGGAAGCCCAAAGCTGATGGCGTGGTAAGTTGTAGTCAGTGAGCCCTTCTGTGGGTGAGAAGTGGCTCTGAGTTTGTAATGGGCTTTTTGAATAGTCAGGGCAAAGCTATTAGAGTGATTTCAAGAGTCTTTCTGCTGCTTGCTTTGTGGACTTCAAATATCCATCTTATTTTAGTGTCCCTGTCCAATTAGTGCTCATGCCTAGATGGTGCAGCACACCGGTTATTACTGTGTAATATTACAGACACTGTGGAAATGGGTTTGGAGCCCTCTTGTGAGGCATTTGCATGATCATGAAAGCCACAGAGATGAGCACCCTGGTGCTTTGCCCATCCCACATGCAGATAGGGGTGATCAGAGTTCCTCTGCCAGAGGGCTTTGACCTACTTCTAGTAGTAGGTGTTGGGATCAGCTCTTCTTGGTCTGTATGTCCTCCTTCATCACCTACTTCATTCTATTCTTTGGGTGCTCTTTGCTATGTACCCTGGAGGGCTGCTGTGTGCCATTGCTTCAGATAGGTAGCCCAGTCATCTCTGCCTCACCTTGTACTGTGTGAATATAGCACAGGGTCACTGTGACAATGTTGCTTTTACTTCTAAAGTAGTTTTGCGTGGTTTCTTTATTCCTTCACTCTTGTTCCTTGCAGTGTCAGTTTCTCCCTGTGTTGCCTCTTTGACAGCTCTCATCTGCACTGATAGCCTGAACATGGAATCACCGTTGTTGGGTATGATAAAGAATAAGCTTAGTCTGACAGCTTGCTTGCTCAGGTCAGGAAGATGCTCTCCCTGGGGAAAAAAACACTGTTTGGATACAGGCCTCTCACTGCAGGTTGTTTTTCTGAGGATTCTGAGTCTGACTGCCTACTTTATTTTCTGCACAAGGTTACTAAGCCCTATTGCTGCAGGCTTGTTCCTTCCCCTGTAAGCCTGGGGGGGATCTGATGACTACCCAGATTCTGCAGGTTGCCTGCTAGTCTGGGAGTCTCCTCTCATTTCTTCCTTCTAGCACGCATGGGAAGGAGAGCATGTAATCTTTATAAGATGCCATCCAAAAGCCTGAAGGTTTTACAGCTGCTACTGGAGAGTGTATGGTGTTAACACCGACCTGCTGAGGATTAGGGAACTGCTCGGCTCCAGACAGGTCAATCACATTATGCTGCTTGGAGCTGATGTGTAAGGAGCAGTGCTTGGCCAACTCCACTCCGGTAGTGGCTGCAGCAACAGCTCTGGAACAGCTTTCCAGAGCTGTTGCATAGCAAGGGCTTGAGAGTTTGCCCCTTCACTGGAAATACAACTTGTCTGTATTGACATGAAAGGATACTGATGCTGACCGTCTGTTTTCAGGCTGTAAGCAATGCCCTTTTTCATTTAGCATGAAATAGCTGAGCCAGAGGAAGTAATAAATTCAAATAGGATCTTATCTGGTGGTGTTAACTGCCGAGTTCACTGGGAAGCTTTGTGCTGCCACTTGGGCTGGGAGATATGGGACTAGTTGTCATGAGATCCTGGTCAATCCATCTGTCACCAGTCCTCAGAGCCAAGGTGTCAGGCTAGGGCAGCTCTGTTCTCTTACTGTACCCCAAGTCTCTTGGCTGTGTTTTCCACATCTGAAGTGTAGCATCTTGTGCCAGGCTGCTATTCTTTGCCCTGTGACTTGGGGCTCAAGTGTTTCTCTTAGATTTTCATTTCTCTTGGGGGACTGCAAAGTGGGAAGACTTGACTTCAGTATGTGGACAGCCGTGTTTCTACTGAGTCTTCACACCGATGGCTAGGATCATTCAGTGTACCACCAAATTCTTAAATACAGCTCTCCTGTTGGATGCTCTCTGCTATATGTGCTTGAGCTTTCTTCCCAAGATGCTGTGTATGACACTGGGTGTGCACTGAGTATTGTCCTCTCTTCCTCCTGGAGATGGAGCTGCAGAGGGAGAAAATCCAGTTCTCACTGCTTCATGGTAAACCTCAGTCTTACAGCAGCTCCCCTTCAGATCTCATAGAGAGCAGGGCGCTGCTGCTCAGGGATGCCCAAATTCCTGCTGCCTAGTCTCTGATTGCTATTGTTTTATGTTGGGCTGATGCTGTTGTGCTTATCTTGATGAGTTCACTTGCATATAAGCTAAGGAGAGCTCATCCTGGAGCTGGCTGCTGTAGGTGATGAAGGTACCAGCTTGTGATGCCTTCTGTGTGTGCACTTCAAAGTTACTACATTCTGGGGTGCTCAGTCCCATTCTGCAGTAGCTGCCATCAGCAGATCTTCTGAACTGTAGATCCCCATGGCCCTGCTGGGGAATGTGGGCTCTGAGCACTTGAAGTGTGCACAGGCACTGCCAGGCCCCTTTGGGGACTGGAGCTCTGCGAGGTTGGATGGGTGCTTCTGATGTGCTGGGATAGAGCTGGGGGAGGATGAGCTTTGGAGGAGGCTTTTTCCCTGGGGTTGTGGAGTTCATCAGCAGTCAACAAGCCTTGCTGCCTGCCTGTAGGTCAGGGTTGAGGGCTGGCTTGTTATCCAGCCAGTTGGTAATCTCCTGACCTTTGAGGGTTGCTGATCCCTTGGGAGCCTCGTGGGGACCAAGCCTGCCATAGCCAGTTCAACAAGGCCAGCTCTGCAGTCACCAACCAGACTGTTTTGGTGCTGTCTGTAATTAAACTAGTGGGAAGATTATGGTGGCTTGCCTTCTTGCCTGTTACAGGACTGATTTGACTTGAATACTGATGAAATGGGAGTGCTGGCTACTAGGCTGCTGGAGCTCACCCTGTTGTTTGTGATAGCTGCTGTATGGTGAGAGATAAGTGCTTTGAAAGGTGTGTGTGCTCTATGAGGTAAAGCTACGCGGGTTGAGCTGTTGTCTGTCACTGATTCACAGTGCTGTGGTCAGGCTGCTGGGTCTTGTTATAGAGGGCCTTGCAGTTCTTGCTGAAGTAGCACAAATTGGCTGCATAGCTTGTTGGAAATCTGCAGTGTACACACTTAGTGTAAGTAAGCATCTAATCCTCAGTGCTGGTTGCAGGGACAGAATTTGGCCTGCTGCTCTAGCCTGCAAATGAAATTTCCCCAGAGATAGAAGTGATAACCTGTTGGTGAGTGGTGGAAGCAGATGTGTTGCAAGGCCTTCAGGCAGCGTGAGGGGTGTGTTTGGGCCCCAGGGTGCTTTGGGAAGCTTGAACCTGTTTCTTAACTTCCCTTGAGCTGATCAAGGCTCAGTTTTGGGATCTCCGGTCTCCTCCCGGTTTCTTGCACAAGAGGACCAGGATCTTGGAGTCAAAGGAGAACGATCTCTTCTGTACTAACCTGTGAGCTGAAGACTCCTGTGGTATGTTGTGTAGCGTAGCATGGTAAGAGCAGATGCCTGACTGAATACTAATTCCTCTCAGGGTGCAGAGAGACCTGACGTGTTGGTGTTGTGTGGAGGGATGAGGCACCTGGAGACTTGCAAACCCTTCTGCTTTCCAGTGTGGAACAGCATGGAGCCCTTGTGATTCAGGAAGGCAAATGCATTTCACATCCTCCTGCCTGACAGAAAGTAATGCTTGAGTCTGCTCTACAATCACCCTTCTGCAGATCTATCTGAAGGCCATGGCTGCCCTTCAGGAGGTGGAAGTGGGTGAGACTTACTTGCATCTGCTTACTGAGCAAGGTAGGCTTTGGTCTCTGCTTTCAGGACCATGCAGCATGCCAGTGTGGATATCAGATCTTGCAAAGACCTTGGAGTCCCTAAAAATGTGGCTGCTATTAGCTTTGTTAAACAGAACAATATCCTGCTGCTGTAGGAAAAACTCATACATCCTTTCCATAAGATCTGTAGCATAATCCTTCTAGTTCTACTCTGGTAGAAATTCTGGTGTGTGCCCAGAGCCCCTGTTCAGGACAAGACCAATGCCTTTTCTCCCTGCAATTGGTTGAGAAGTGTAATCCATAGCTTCTAAGCTTGTTTTCTTCTTAGGAGTGTGAGATGTAGCTCTGAGCTTGTAGGTGCCTTTGATACTATCATATCCCAGCCTGCCCCAAATAGCTAAGTGCTCCACAGAAGTCTTAGGTCTTTACTAAGACTGACTCACGCAGCTTGATAAGATAAACACTGAGCTTGAAAAGTCAGGTAGCTTGTGCTGGGAACTAATACTTGAGGGCTACTCAATCTAGCAAATATAGGTGTAGCTGGATGTTGTGGTCAAAGTCTGAAACTCAACAGACAAGTTTGGTGCTTGCTCTCTCTCTCATGAGAGCAGCTTAAAGTTCAGTGGCTTCCAAGAGCTGTGCTTTCTTCCTTCCCACAGCAGAAGCCGTAAGTAGCTTTCAAGGATGCTGTAGTTCCTGCTATGCTTTTCTGGCTTCTGTTAAGTGTGGAGAGGGATAATCTTAGTGCCTTCTCTGTTGCCAGCAGAGGTTCCTGGGGTCTTTGGGAGTGCTGGCTGCTCTGCAGCCTCACTTGAAGGGGTGCTTTAGACAGTGGTGTGAAAGGGCTGTTGGAGGTAGGTGGCACTGTCCAGTTCATGGAGCAGGGTACAAACAGGTGAGCACAGAGCTAGTGCTGCTGCTGTGGTACAGGCTTGCTGTCTTAAGTGGTGAATGGGAAGGTAGATAGCAGGCCACTATGATTGATGCCATTTTGGTGCTTGATAGCCTTGTGTGGTGATTGCTGCTGTCCTGCCTGGTCAAAACTTGGAGGAGGGGTGCTGGTGTGACTGCTACTGGATGCTCTCTGCTGGGAAAAAAGGTCACTTCAGCCTCTCAGCTGTAGCTTGAATCAGCTGTGTGCTTCCTGATGGTGGCAGCAGTAATCCTCCAGGGAGACTGCCATGGGGGGACCCATTTCTCCAGGCCCATGTTTGGGAAGTGATTCCTGTGCCCCTTCTTGGAGGAAGAGATAGGATGGATGGGATTTCTGCTCCCCAGCATCATGGCTGTGAGTGGTGTTAACACTTGAGTGTGTTACAGCAAGAATAAGATCAAGGAGATGTAGATGCAGTGCTGGCTGGAAGCTTTCTTAAATGAAATGTTAGGATCTGCCTTGGAAGGACTGCAGGTGATGATGTGGTTTCCAGCAGAGCTGAGGAGACAGGATCAGGCTCATGGAAGAGTAGGGAGTGCATGGCTTCACCGGGTGCTTGTTTATAATCAGTTGGAAGTAATGACAACCAGGTAGTCATGACAGGACCCTGAAGCTGTGCTCAAGATGTGATGTTGTGTAGGACTGTGCTCTGCAGGCTGCCTTCCTGGGTCAACCGCTGCCTGATCTGCCCTCCTCTCTCTGCAGACACACTGCCACTATCATGGAGGGGATTGTGACTATGTATCAGGACTTCATGAAGAAAGCAGGTAAGTGGCTCTATGCAGATTGAGGGTGGGTGGCATTATATGCTGTGCTGCCATAGGCCTGGGGGTGTGTTCTGACATATCTGATGTAATGCAGGTCTAGCTGTGTTCTGCTCTAATATAAGTGCAGCTCTGGGGTTTTTAGGCTACCTAAGACTATCTTGCCTCAGTGTCTGTTGAGGCATTTGTGCCCTCCTCCAGGCAGCTCTGAAGCACGGCTTCAGGCTACATCTTATACAGCACGGCTTTGCTGGGTTCTCCAGTCTCTGTTACCAGGTTGCCCCTTGCCTGTACTCCTGTCCTTGGAGAATGGGGTTTTCATGTCCTTCACTTTATTCTGGTGTTATCACTGCTGTTAGCACATTGGGGTTGGGATGCTTACTGCTGTGCACTTTGGCTTTCTCCACAGACCCCCGCATTGCTGATTATCCACTGATGCAGTCCCCATTCCTTGTGTTGGGCATCCTTCTGGCATATGTCTACTTTGTACTCTCCTTGGGTCCCCGGCTAATGGCAAACAGGAAGCCTTTAAACCTGAAGAAGTTCATGGTGCTATATAACTTCTTCCTGGTGGGACTCTCACTCTACATAGTCTATGAGGTGAGTTGCCAGCAGGTTGTCTGGCACATACAAAGCAATACATGCAGGCTGTGTGGGTCGTGGAAGAGCACTTTGTGGGTTCCTTGGTATTTTGAGCAGGACTGGGAAATGCAGTGGCTTGTGTGTTGGACCTCACTCTGATGCTCTTGTTGCAGTTTCTGATGGCAGGGTGGCTTACTGGGTACACCTGGCGATGTGACCCTGTGGACTTCTCACAGGACCCCAAGGCCCTCAGGGTGAGTTCTCTTGTCTCTCATGAGTAGAGATGGCTTTCAGTGCTTGTCTGGACAGCAAGTTCCCTGCCTCTTCTTTGAGGCAAATGACTTGGTACCTGGCTTTTAGTGTCACTCCAGGGTTCCTGTCTGGTGGGATCTGGTTACGGGGCATGTTCAGACTGACATGGGAATCATGTTAACTTGTTCTATTACAGATGGTCAGTGTTGCTTGGCTGTTTGTCTTTTCCAAGTTCATTGAACTGACAGACACGGTAAGTTACTGGAGAGGCCTTGTTCTTGGGGGAAACTTAATCACTGCTTTGGGCAGGGATTTGAGGCCCAGTGTACTTGAAGTGGTAGGTGCCTCCTTTGGCCCCTTCAGTCTGAAATGCTGGTGGTTCTATCTGATATCACTGATGGGAGAGATCACTCTGGATATCACAGAGGCTACTTCTATCATAACTCTGGAAGCTGCGGGGTAACCTAATGTGTGGTTGCAATGATATTGGGGGGAAGAGGAGGAGGGGGGAAGCATCACTTGAGACCAGACACTGAAGCAGTGGCCTGGGTTATTTCACTTGCTCCCATGATGCTGACCTTTGATGCTTGCTGGGCTCTCATTGCAGGTCATCTTTGTCCTGAGGAAGAAGAATGAGCAGGTCACATTCCTGCACCTTTTCCACCACTCTGTTCTGCCCTGGAGCTGGTGGTGGGGAGCAAAGTTTGGACCAGGTAAGATAGGAAATAGCTGGAGAAAAGCTGGAGTTGGTATCAGCTGAACAAGGAAGGCATTTTTTCACTACTGCTGGACTCCTAGGAGTTTTTCTTTTTTTGTAGTACTACTTTGTTGCAGATGATTGACTTATTCTTGTGCAAATGTGTCTAACAGGGGGAATGGGATCATTCCATGCCATGATCAATTCCATGGTGCATGTGGTCATGTACTTCTACTATGGGCTCTCAGCAGCAGGACCTGCCTTCCAAAAGTACTTGTGGTGGAAAAAGCACATCACAGCCATCCAGCTGGTAAGTCTGTGCTATGGAGTAGTGTGTGTGTCGTCAGCCTCTGATGTGAATGGCAGATCAGTGCTTGTATATATGAAAGATGCAACCAAGAGCTGTAGTTCTTCTTTCTCAGTCTGCCACTCTGTGTTTCTAGCAGCTCTGGCCTGCTGTGGTCTCCGATAGCCCTTACAGCCTGGTGAGGGCATGGAGCCTGCTGCCTCTGGGCTATGGCATGTTGGGAGGGTGATAGACAAACACTGCTTTAAAACTCATGCTTGCATCTTCCAGCTGCAGCTGGCTGCTCCTCTCTGTAAGAACCTGTATTTAGAATGGGCAAAGAGACTACAGATTTAATTTAAAAAAAAAAAAAAAAAAAGGTGTATAGTGGGACATCCTTAAGCAACTCCTGTGAGTTATTTGTTTCTGTTCTGCCTTGTTCCCCAGGCACAGTTTGTGATTGTCTCCGTCCACATCTCCCAGTACTACTTCATGCCCAGCTGCCAGTACCAGTTTCCCATCTTCATCCACCTTATCTGGATTTATGGGACCATCTTCTTCATCCTCTTCTCCAACTTCTGGTACCAGTCCTATACCAAAGGCAAACGATTGCCCAGGGTGGCTCAACAAGCAGCCCAGCACAATGGTAGCAGCATCCATGAGAATGGCACTGTCACCAACGGCAAGGTCAAAGCCAACTAGAGGGCAGCCTGGCCCTCCCAGAGCCAATGAGAGCCCCGGGGCAGAGGCAGCTGGGACCTGTTCCCCTGCTCCTGGGTGCTACTAGCCAAGTCAAGTGCCTACAGACTGTTGTACCCTTGTGCCCAGCCCTGCTGTCCTCTGTCTGCATGCCCAGCCCCTCTGCTCCGAGCAGCCGTGGGCGACTTCTGCTCTTGGGAGGGCTTGTGCTGTTTCTCGCTGTTGTTGAACGGAGAGACAGCTGCCTGCATCACAACTTGGGGCTGCAGTCCCATTCCAGTGTTTCCAAAGGAATTCCCCCAAGTGCCTGCATCTGGCCCTTTTGCCTGGGGGCCATTTCCTTCTGAGTAGGACCAAAAGAAGAGACCGATCCCTGTCCTGGTGCCCTCTCCTCTTCCCTGGCTCATCAGAGCCTGTGTGGATGAAGTGACTTGTCCCTGGTTGCTTGCTGCTGCCAGCTCAAGTGTGAGTGCTCCTGCTATACCATGCCTTGTGCCACTTTGTTCCACGCCACAATGCTGTGTGTCCCTTGTGGTCCCTGTATACCCAGGTGGTGGTGAGGGGGTCCTGCCCTGGTGTCTGTGCTCAGGTGTGGCTGTGGAGAGTGTAGGGGCAGCAGATATGTGGTACTTGAAGGCCCGGAGCTGCCCAGTACAATACACATGCCTTATGCCTAGTACGAAGTGGGGTTGTGACGCCCTGAAATGCCTCTACCATATAATAACCCCAGGTTGCCTTGCATTTCTTTCCTGTGCCTGGGTGGAGTGCTGAGCATGTGCTTTTAGCCATGCTTATGTGTGATCCAGAATAGCAGTTGGTGGCTTGTTCTGGAGTGAGGGAGGCCAAGCTCACTGTGCTTTGGGTGACTTACATTCCTGCAAACTCGAGACTCGAGCAATAATTGCCTCTAGAGTTGTCTGCTGGGCTCTCCTGCCTGGAAATGGCTCTGCTCTGGCCTGATGTGAGCACAGTGGAGGATGGTTGTAGCATATTCTGCTATGGTGTAATGGGGAACACCTCTTGCCTTCATGGATTCTGCTAGGATTGAGTGAAGATGTGCTCTGCCATTCAGCAGGGCAGTGCAGCAGCTCTCCTGGGCCTGGTGCTTGTTGCCTGCTCTGACTAACCAAAGCTATATGAGTAGCCTTGAGGATGAGGTGAAGGAGCCAGGCCCAGTCAGATTGGGCTGCTCTTCTATCACAAATAAACAGACAGAAGGAGAAATGGCTCTGCCCCTTGTTTTCCTGGCTTGCTGTGCTGTGAAGCTGTTCCAGCTGCCTGGTCCTGCCCAGTGGTTTTGGAGGCAGGGCTGGGAGAAGCAGCTGGTGTAGCAGGTTTGTGCTGGTGGGGAGAGGGCTGTACTGTGCTGATGAAGCAGATGGCAGATTGTTTCCAAGTGCTTTGATAGAGGGGTGCTGAGGGCAGGAAGTGTGTCAAGGCTCCTGTTGTGAAAGTGGCTCCACCCTGTTAAAGAATGGCTGGGGTGGAACAGAGGTGTGGGCTGGGACCTGGGCCAGCAGAAGCTGCTGCTGCTTTTCAGAAACCCTGTCCTGGCTCTAGTGCAGAATTGGGGTGGAGTGGGGATTTGAGACTCTGGAAACCCAGGTTATGGGGAAAACAGCAGGGAGACCAGCCAGCTGCTTTCTGAAGAGGGAAAGGAATCTATTTAAAGCTGTTGCCATCTCTGAGTGAAGTGCTGGTCTCTGCAGAAGGTATTTCAGGCTGGACAGAGGATAGTTTCCACTGCTGCTTTCTTGCTCCTGCTACAGCAGTCTGTCTTCCTCAGCTGGGTTCTGTTCCCCTCTACTAGCTGAAACAGTTTGGCTTTTATGCAGAATGGTCAGTGCTGCCTTCCTCATCAGCTTCTGCTGAGTGGGAGGGCTAGGCCTGAGTGCTGACTCAACCCTGAGAATTGGGCTGGGTAGCCAGCCAGCTTGTGTGGCAAGGAGGAATGCATGAACCCAGAAGGCCTCCAGGTGAGTTTCACTGTAGATTCGATTGTGGTGTGGGAGGGCTTTAGTGGAAGTGTAGCCAAAGCCCTGCAGCTGGGTTTGGTGTGGGTGAGAGCTCAGTTGCTTCTGCCTTGCATATCTTTTAGGAAGAAGGACAGGCTGCTGCCCTGTGTAAACATTCTTCCCCATTTCTACTAGTGCTGCTCCTGGGTTAGGGACTGACAGAAGAGTTCTGGTCCTTACTGAAGTGGTGGCATATCAGCTCAGTGCTCAGAATTCACAGCTTGAGCAGGAGGCAATCCAGCTGAGACCGAGTGCTGCCACTGTTTAGCTTCCTTTCCCCTCCCTGCTTCTCGCTGGCTCTTAGTGAAGACAGGACTGTCCTTGCTTTTGCCCAAAATAGTAACAGAAGTTTAAACTACTTACACTTGATATTCTAAAAGAGGGCTGTTCCTTCTGTGTGCTCTGCTTGCCCTTCCTCCAATTGTTCCTATTAGCTTGTGATCTTTCCATGGGTGGGCTGTGGAGCTTAGTCACTTATTCCCTATTGGGGACAGACAGTTCCAAACTGCGTTTACACCCTATATGGCAGTTGCTGGGCTTGCATGTGAGCTCCTTCCCTCCAGGGCATCAGGGCCAGTATGGGGCCAAGGGAAGAACACTGTAATCCCCTCTCCTTCCAGTAATGCTCAGGGGACTTTCAAGAGCCATGCAGAAGCAGAGTTTCTGGAGGCGAGTGTGCAAAGGATGCAGAGAAGCTAAGCCCAGAGTAAGATAAACCACTATTACAGTGGGATAGGTGGAAAAACTGTGCTAGCTTTCAGACTGCTTTCCAGAGAGGGTCACTCCTGTGCTCAGGCTCTGCCTCCTGCAGCTGCTGTGACACTATACTCCTTTTTGCCAGCATTATGTGTAGCCCTTCTCTGCTGCCTGTGGGCTAAGGCAGTGGCTGCCTGGTACAGCACACAATGCTACCACCTGGCAGAAGTGGATGGAACCTAGTGCAGCCTGGCACTGTGTGGGGAAAAAAAGGGGGAAAGCAGGCTAGGAGGTGCATAGGCTTTGCTAAGCTGCTTTGCATACACTAGGATGTTATTCACAGCTCTGCAGTTCTCCAGGCTTCCCCAGATAGCCCGTTATGGGGTGGGTGCACAGTACCCTGGTGCAGCCCTACAGCCCCAGAAAATGCAGTTCCACATTCAGAGTAGCATGGCAGCTTTGGCCGGGGTGGTCTTTGCTCAGGTAAAGGTTTACTGTATCCATTAGTTTAAGATGTTCAAAGGGAGTGGGATGCTGCTCATATGACTTCACCAGAGGAAGGATTGAAGAGAGCTTGCACAGACTAGACATTAACTTCAGCTTGTGAAGAGTTACTGCTGCCAGGGGTGAACTCCATATTGTAAGCTGGCCCTAAAAACAGAGCTCTACTTCTTGCCCAGAAAACAAACCTCAGGGAAGAGTTTCTTGTTGATCTAAGCCACAGATGGTACTTTCTTCCATCAGCTTTAAAAGGCAAAGGCAAATTAAAGCTGTTTATTAACATTTAAAATACTGTACAGTGTGTAAGCCAATGTCCCAGCTTCCCACAACACCAACCCTGTGCACTTATCGGATGCCCTGGTGAATGATGCTGCTTTTGGCACTGTTTGCCTTCTCTTTTTCCTTCTTCTTTATGGGATCCATTTCAAAACAGCGCCAAAGCCGCAGTGTTTCATCAGCAGCTGCCGAAGCTACTGTTACACCGTCTGGGCTCATGGTTAAGTTCAGGACTCGGGCAGTATGACCTAAGGAAGTGTACAGTCAGGGCTGTGCTGATTTTAAGAGCAACCATCGTTCTCCCCATCTTTTGCACTTGTGTCCCTCATAAGCCTCAACAGCTTGCATCAATGCCCCATAACATACTGAAGCCTTTTGAGGTCACATCCTCAGCCTATAATTCTAGAAAGTGGCCCTGGACATTTTTTTTTTATTATTGGTGCTTCAGGTTGGACAAGTAGCAGACTACTTGAACTGAGGATCAAATCTGCCTTCAGCCCTCCCTTCCCCAGGGAGCCTAGCTTACCTCGAAGTTCAGTGACCTTGGCCATTGTTGGATACTTCCATATCACCAGCTGATTCTGTGCAAAGCCATGGCCTGAAATGAACTCTTTATAGGTTGTTGACCACAGGATAGAACAGACCTGCAAAGAGGCAAAAATACTATGAAGACATGCAAGCTACTTGTGCTGATGTTCATCAGCAAGGATGAACCCCTGCTGGCTCCCTGGCCTGTCCCAGGCCTCAGGAACCATCATGTATGCCAGAAAGAATTTTATCACCAGGATGTTTATGTCTCACCTGGGAGTGGGCATCAACAGCACTGAGACAGGTGCCGGAACAGACATTCCAGATGCGGATGTGTCTGTCGCTGGTTCCACCTCCAGTGGCTAGGACATTTGACTGCCACGGACACCATGCCACAGCCTGAGGAAGAATCAGTTCATTTTAAGAAGTACAGGAGGCAGCCTGTTTCCTATTGCGTCTTCCAGAGCTCAGGCCACAGCAGCTCCAGGGTAGCCTCTCTCCACCAGGGCAGGGACTGCATCAAGTGCTACACACCCGCTTTTCACACAGACATGCCCCCACAGTATCCACACAGCAGGCCTGCACTCACCTTGACAGCACCCTGGTGCTGAGTGAAGGTCTGTACAGGAGTGAAGTCTCCACTGTCTCCCTGGACAGATGGCCAGATGTTCACCAGGTTGTCGTTGCCACCACTGGCCAGGTAGCGACCATCTAGAGACCACTTGAGTCCGCACACCTCTTGTGTGTGGCCAGTAAGAGTGGCCACGTGGTGCTCAGCCACTCTGACATCATGGTGGTGGATGTGGCCAGTCCGTGACCCACTGCAGAGAGGAGATGCACAGTGTCAGACTAGCTCGTTTTCACCAAAAGCTTTGTGCTATTGCAAGGCTGCCTTTATTGCCATTGAGATTCAACCAGTGTTAACCACCATCACTGGCCTGTTGACATGAGCAGAGCAGCCACAGAACCTCTTCACAACTGACTGTGTCCAGCAGCTGGATGCTGCTTCACCCCCAGCTTTACCTGGAGAGGATGTAGCTGTTCCAGCTGAGGGACCCCACCCGAGAAGAATGGCTGGTCATACTTCGGAGACGCTTCTGCTGCTGTATGTCCCATAGCTAGAGAGGCAAGAGTATTATGTTCTCCAGAGGGTAAGGAACAGCAGCATTGTTGCTTTGCCAGGAAACTTTACTACACAGACTCTGGCATTTGACTTTTTCTGTATAGGAACAGCAATTAATTTCTTATGTATGAAACAGTTATTCCAGGCATCAGAATATCCCTGAAGTCTGCCTTGCTACTGCAGTTCATCACTGGCCACAGGTGGGTGGGGACACTTGCCTTATACTAGTCTTAGCACTCTCAACATCACAAGACAGAGGCTGTAACCACTAATAGTCACAAGACCACAGGAAGGATTCCCACTGCAGTGAGGATCACTTACAGCCCTTTGGAGAGTAGATGACAGAGCTCTAAGAAACTACTTAGAATTTGTGCTGCCTAACGATGACATGAGCATAAGGGCACCTTCAGACAATATTGCTCCCGGGCAGAGAAGCACAGTGTCAGGTTCTCTACAGGCCTCTGTCACAAGTCATCCACTTCACCCCTTTGCTCCCACAATGGGCAGCAATTCACTGAACTGTAACAAGTGCCAGAACACTCCTCTTCCCTGTGCTAAGGATAAAGACAAGTCAGAACACACTGTATCTGTCCTGTGCTAGCCAAGACTTTGTTCCAAGGCCCCACAGCTCCAGCAATCCTTAGACCACCTCTCATTTTACTGCACTCACCTGGACCTCGGCATTTCTTGTGCCAACAGCAAGGTAGTTTCCTTCTTTAATCCATGACAGAGAGGATACATAATCATCTGGATTCTCTATCTGCAGCAGCTGGATGATTTCCCCAGAAGAGTGATTCCACAGATAAACGCAGTTGTCCAGAGCCACTGCCAGGAAGTTCTGAGAGCTCCAGTCAATGAGATTCAGATCTACAATTCGGAAGAGCAGTGCAGCTGACACAGTGCTTACACGCAGAACCCCACCCACATCTTCACACAGCACTGCAGTGAAATATTTTCACTAATGCCAAATGCCATATCTCCCACCTGCACCAACCTCACGTGCATGCAGGTAAGGGGCAGCCTCCAGGGATCCACCATGCCCAGTCAAGTAGCCCCAATTCAAGTCACCCACATGGTGCTTTGGA